CAGCTGCGGACGCGCCAAGTCCAACAACTGTGGTTGCGTCAGTTGAGCCGCAAAGTCCGGCCATGGGCACGGGCGAAGAGTCTCCACCAGCAGCTGCGCACATGCCCCCACCACAGTCCCCTGCTGCTTCAGGACAGGGGACACCTCCAGCGACGACAGTTGAGTTCGCCTCTCCTCCAAGCGACATCGACGAGTATGTGGATGCTTTCCACGACCGTGAGGAGGTGAGGTTTCGCAGGATGGACAACCTCGTTGGCAACTCGGTTGTACCAGGCTTGGCAAGCCGATTACTCGACGATCAGGAGCTGCTCTTCGTCAGCGCAGAGGAGCCATCGAATTTCGCGCAGGCCGAGCGCGATGCCAGTTGGAGACGAGCTATGCTAGAGGAGATGAAGGCGATCGAGGAAAATGAGACGTGGGAGCTCGTCGATCCACCTCCAGACTGTCATCCAATCGGGCTCAAATGGGTCTACAAGGTCAAGCAGGATGAGAGTGGCGCCATATTCAAGCATAAGGCGCGCCTCGTTGCTCGCGGTTTCGTCCAGCGTAAGGGCATCGACTTTGAGGAAGTTTTTGCACCAGTGGCACGCATGGAGTCAGTTTGCCTACTGCTGGCCATGGCAGCAGCGAAGGACTGGCGCATTCATCACCTGGACGTGAAATCGGCCTTCCTCAACGGCGAGCTAGCGGAGACTGTCTACGTCAAGCAAGCCCCGGGCTTCGCCGTCAAGGGAGGGGAGCACAAGGTGTTGCGGCTGCGAAAGGCACTCTATGGGCTGCGACAAGCCCCGCGAGCGTGGAACGCCAAGCTCGATGTCACCCTGGGTACGCTTGGGTTCACGCGCTGCGCGACAGAACACGCGCTCTACACGCGACGACGGGGGAAGGAGGAGCTCATCGTCGGCGTGTATGTGGATGACTTGATCATCACCGGAGCACAAGAGAAGGGGACATCAACGGCTTCAAGCGCGAGATGGCAACTCGTTTTCGCATGAGCGATCTCGGGCAGCTCTCCTACTACCTCGGCATCGAGGTGAAGCAGGGGAGAGACTCCATCACTCTCTGCCAGCGTGCGTATGCGGGGACGTTGTTGGAGCGGAGCGGCATGGCTGACTGCAAGTCATGCGCGACTCCGATGGAGGAGCGACTGAAGCTGACGAAAGCCAGCACCGCGGCGAAGTGGATGCAACACTCTATCGGAGTATCGTTGGTGTGCTACGCTACCTAGTCCACACGAGGCCAGATATCGCATTCGCCGTGGGCTATGTCAGCCGCTTTATGGAGGACCCTCGAGAGGACCATTGGGCTGCAGTAAAACGGCTATTGCGCTATGTCAAGGGGACAGTGGATCAGGGCATCATTTTCCCCAAGACCGGCGACGGAAGTGAGCTGCAAGTGAGCTGCAGCTCACGGTTTTCAGCGATGCAGACATGGCAGGCGACATTGATGGGAGGAAGAGCACCTCCGGTGTGCTCGTCTTCCTTGGGTCGGCTCTAATCTCATGGTAGTCGCTGAAACAGAAGATTGTGGCGCTGTCTACGTGCGAGGCGGAGTACGTGGCAGCAGCCACAGCGGCATGCCAGGCGGTCTGGCTGCGTTGGTTGCTGGGCGAACTGACCGGCAAAGAAGCTCGTCCACCAGCTCTGATGGTGGACAACCAGCCTGCCATTGCCCTTGAAAAAAAATCCAGTCCTCCATGACCGGAGCAAGCACATCGATACCCGTTTTCACTTCATCCGTGATTGTATCGATGAAGGACAGATTGTTTTAGAGTTTGTCGAATCCGGACGGCAGCTCGCAGACATCCTTACCAAGCCACTCGGCCGTCTTCGATTCATGGAGCTGAGGATCAAGATTGGAATGGTGGGAAACAAGCAAGAACAGCAGGATTAGGGGAAGAATTGTAAGATATAATCTGCTGTTTTTTCCAGGCAGCTTCTTTGGTAGCTGCTGCAGCTGCAAAGCACTTTCATGGCAGCCATTTTAGGCTGATTTTTCATGACTTTTCAACGTAAGTAATTTCTAAGAAAGTCACTAGGATAGTTGTTTTTAGTTCTTATAAATAGGTATGCAATTTTTGTTTTGTACACACAGAAAAACTTAATACGCAATACATTGAGTTGTTCTCAATCTTCTTCTTTCATCCTAAAAGTGTTCGTTTGTGCCGGAAGCATTTTTGCTTACCTGAGCAGTGAACGAGCATGAACGAGCAGGGACTAACACACAAACACACACACACACACACACACACTCAATTCTAGATAAAGAGAGAAAGACATTAAAGAAGTTGAGTTGATGAGAGGAGCAGATGTGTTACGGTGCACAAATAGTTATTTGTTGAGCTGTTAAATTGACAAGTTTCGTCTGGTACTTGGTACCGAGTAGGACTACTTGTTTGTTTAAATGCATATTGCTTTATGTTATTGCTTTCTACTGTACCAAACTCACCTGGAGTTTTCTTTTTCAAGTCGGACCTATTGGTTGTGAAGAAGAAAAACAAGCGGTATTGCCCCATATATTTTCAGAAGGTACTCTTTCTTGTATGAGATGCTATATATCATTTTATCTCCTTTGTGAATGTGAACTAGTTAACTCTTTTTGTTTTTATTTATTTTTTATTTTATTTTATATATATACTTTTTCAATCAGGAAGATATAGAGAAAGCACTTGCAGCTGTGTCAAGGGTTTCGAGGGGACCTGGTGTTTCTCAACACATTATGGTATTACTGTTTCTTGTTCACGATCCGTCTCGCTTTAACTTGCTAGCTGCTGCCTATGATACTGTTCTTTCGGTGGATGAAAGTGGAGAATGGCTCCTAAAGGGGCTAATATATTTTCTAACTACATGGAATTAAGGGGAATTGTGATTTTGGTGTCTCACTTAAATTAACTTACAGTGTCCGAACTGAATATTTAGTATCGGCGGGATTAGTTTGGGTCATTTGTTTTCTTAGTTTCTCTTTGGGAAAATATAAAGTCCATTGGGTGGTAGTGCACTCTCAATGTGAGGTTATATAATGGCTTACGGAAACTTATATAAAATATAAACCAGTGTTAGAACCTTGGCCCATTTCATTGCTATTTCTAACTATTGCATTTTGTAAATTACTTGGAGAACTGGGCTATTTCTGATTATTGCATTTTTTTCAATTACTCGGTTGCTCCACATTTGTCATTTGCAAACGGAAACAAATGTTTTCACGTCTCCTCTTCATTATTTCTTGTTTGCATTTTCACAGGTCGGAAGTCTAGAGGATGTTCTCAAGAAAATGGAGGTATTATAAATTGACCCAATCTGCCATTGTTTTAAAAAAGTAATATGGTTGTGGTTGATGGTAATATAAATTGACCCAATCTGCCATTGTTTTCAAAAAGTAGTATGGTTGTCGTTGCAGTTCTTGCCGGAACCAACATTTTTTTATGGCTGAAAAACAGTTCTTAAAATCCTTGTGCATGCAAAACAAATCGAATATGAAGATTGTGTTTTTCAATTGATAAATAAGAAGTACTAAAGAAAAATTAGTTGGTCTTAATAATGATATTAATATTTGACATAATATTACCATGAACATTAAATTTGTCTACGTACGCTCAATTAAATTTTAGTGCTTCTTCTATTAGTGAAGTTTCTAGAAAAAAATATATCAAACGACGCAATGCACTTTGGGTCGCTACGGAAACAGCCTCCTTGTATAATTACAAGGGTAAGGTCTGTGTACAACTGACTCCCAGACCCCAACCAGTTGGGAGGAATATACTGGTATGTTGTTGTTGTATTCTCTTAGTTTTCGAGCCGAGAGATGTAAAACACAACATAGCTCTCTTACTTTTTATACTCATAAATAAATTGATCATTAAAATTGATATTTTAGTAAACAAATAAAGGAAAAACGATGATGGTTAGGACCCTCCGGTTCCATGTTCCTGGGCGGAACCGCAATAAGGTTCTAGTGTGTTTCTGGTTATTACTCAGGTTCCAGGTTTGTCCAGGTATACAAAAAGATCCTTCAATTCAGTTGTGGCAAAAAGTTTTACTGTCTGGAAGCATCTTGCATGTTTTATGCAGAAACAGTTGTCTTGTTACTTGTTAGATAGCTCTTTCTTTATGGCTTTTTTTTTCCTAGTACAAAATTGATTCAGCTGAAATCCAGACAAAATATTTTCCGCCTTTTCCTGATTGTGACAGATAAGTGAAAAGAACTCAGGCTGGGAAGACTTGATTTTCGTTCCACCCGGTAAAAGCCATTCTCAACACATTCAAGAGGTCACGAACGATATCGAATTTTGAATGTAAAGACCTCCTTTTGTTATGAGATGTCACGTGTGGCAAGTACGTGTATGCTTGTTCCCATTGGCCATCTTTATGTACACAATCGTGATTGTTCATTTCCATGATCATGATAAGAAATTTTTTCAGCACATTTTGAGGAAATTGTTGACTAGCTTAGATATAGATTCACCTTCAATGTTCTACTAGCTTAGAGAGTGATTCAC